TGCGCGCGCGGGCCTACTTCCTGTCCCACTGCCACAAGGGTGAGCGCCTCCCCTCCCTCCCCCCCGCCGCCCTCGGGACCCCGCGGCCTGGAGCGGCGCCGCCTGGCGTCTCTCTTCGTCAGTTAACCGCATCAGCCTGAGGGGCCCTGCTGTGTTAACCCGCTCGCTGCGTCCCTGGCCGCCGGGATGGGCAGGGAGGGGGGGTCCCGCGATAATGGCTCTGGGCACCTGGCATGGCCCACGCGGGCTAGACGGACCTTTGGTCGGACCCAGTAGGGCCGCTCGTGTCTCCCCCTTATTGTTTCCGTGCGGCATGTCTGCGGTGACCATCTCGTCCAAACCAAAAACCAGGACACATCATCTGACCCAGGATTTTTTTTTCTGATTTATGAATGTATTTATACCCAGTCATGGAACTGGAAGGGATCTGAGAAGTTATTGAGTCCAGTCCCCTCCCTGCCCTCATGGCAGCAGCACGCACTGTCATCATCCCTGACAGGTGTCTGTCTAACCTGCTGTTCAATATCTCCCGCAAGGGAAATTCCGCAGCCTCCGCAGGCAATTTATTCCAGTGTTTAACCACCCCGACAAGAAGTTTTTCCTACTCTAACCTAAACCTCCCTTTCTGCAATTTAAGCCAATTGCGTCTTGTCCGATCCTCAGAGGCTAAGAAGAATTTTTCTCCCTTCTCCTTATAATGCCCTTTTAGATACCTGAAAACTGCTATCATGTCTCCTCTCAGGGTACGTCTAGACTACGGGGTTTTGTCGACGGAAGTTTTGTCGACAGATACTGTCGACAAATCTTCCGTCAACAAAGAGCGTCCAGACACATTGAGTTCTGTCGACAAAGCAAGCTGCTTTGTCGACAGAACCCCATAGTGTGGACGCAACCCTACAGGCAATAACACCTTCTGTCGACAGAACTTTGACAAAACTGCTGAGTTCTGTCAACGTTATGTTGACAGAACTCAGCGGTAGTGTAGATGCTGGTATAGTTTTGTCGACAAAAGTCCACTTTTGTCGACAAAACTCGGTAGTCTAGACACACCCTCAGTCTTCTCTATTCTAAACTAAACAAGCCCAATTCTTTCAGTCTTCCATCTTAGAAGACTGAAAGAATTTAAAGGTTTTCTAGACTTTTAATCATTTTTGTTGCTTTATGCTGGACCTTCTCCAATTTTTCCACATCTTTTTTGAAATGTGGTGCCCAGAACTGGACACAATACTTCAATTAAGGCCTAATCAGCACAGAGTAGAGCGGAAGAATAACTTCTTGTGCCTTGCTCACAACACTCTTGTTAATGCATCCCAGAATCATGTTTGCTTTTTTTTGCAAGTGTCATACTATTGACTCATTTTTAACTTGTGGTCCACTATGACCCCTAGATCCCTTTCTGCAGTATTCATTTCTAGACAATCACTTCCCGTTCTGAATGTGTGAAAAGTCTTACAAAAGTATAAACATTAAATCATAGGGTGGTGAGTGAGTGGACTGGGAGTGCAGAGTCTTAGCAGGGCAGTGAGTGAATGGGCTGGAGGTGCAGGGTCTGAGCATTAGGGAGAAGGGGGGCTGCTTTCTTGTGGCTCCCAACACCGTGCCCTGGGTACCACCTCCCGCTGCTTCTATTGGCCAGGTTCCGGAGCAGCAGGAAAAGCCTCCAAGAAGCGCATCCCTGTGCTGCTTTTCCCCTAGCTGGAGGAGGGGGAGTGGTAGCAGGCACATCTGCTTCTAGCTGTGCTTTTTTGGATCCAGTGGGGAGCCTCGCAGCTTTCTCTACCCCCACTGAAATATTTGTAGAAATACTGGAATTTCTGCGATGTTTCAATGGTTTATGGCAGGGGTGGGGAACTGCCTCCAGCTTGCCTGGATCTGGCCCCTGAGGCTCAGGGCTCCCCTCCTAGCCTGCTCCTGCACTTTTCCTCTTACCCAGAATCCACTCCCTAAGACTGCTTTTCCTCACCCCCCCTCCTACACACTGAACCCCTCATTTTGGCCCCAGCCTAGAAGGGCCCACAAAGTCTACTAGCCTGGGACCCCCTACGCTCTTGTGTGCAAGAGGAATATGGGGATTGTTTTTCTCCTCTTAGTCAGAGGCCACATCAGGGAGGCTTTTTATTTTGTTTTTGCTCTTCTCACTTTTGTGCAGTCCCTGACTGATTTCTCTGGGTTAGCGGACCCTGGCCCAAAAAAAGGTTCTCCACCCCTGGTATATGGAGACAATGGGACAGAATATTTTAAAATCAAGACTGTCTGGAAAATCCAGGTGGTATGGTTGGCGTAGGCATGTCTGTTTTGGGACTTTGTCATGCAAACTTGCGTGAGGGCTACTGGAGAATTGAATGAGCTCGCAGCTGGCACAGTAGTCAGCCTGCCTGGAGCTCATTGTAAGATCAGGGCCTGAGATTGTAAACACTTCACCGGGCAGGAATCAGAATTTCTTATTTTACCATATAGGATTATGCTATAAATAATGTCACTAATTTTTTTTATTACTCTTAAATATAAAAACTGTGATGTTTTGTAAGTTCTTAAAATAAAGTAATTCTAGACTTCATATCTTACTCTTAGATCACATGAAAGGGCTGAGAGCACCATCCTTGAAAAGAAGACTGGAGTGCAGGTAATGACACGCAAGTAATACGATAGGAACCTATCTCTTAAGTATGGATATTAGATATAGTGTAATTGAATAGATGTGTCACTGCACAAAATATTATCCGTTACATGACTATTTGATAGTGCCCAGGAGCAGGGCCAGCAGCCAGTGAGTTCCTGGGGTGCCCCCTGCCACCCTGCACTGGCAGGTGGAACCAGTCCATGAAGGACCCTTGTAGACTGGCTGCCTGCCACTCTATGCTGCTGACCTGTCCATGGGGGACCCAGGCTCAGACAGAGTCCGTGGGATGCAGAGCAGCCTCTGTTAGCAGGGAGCTTGGACTCCCTGTGGACAAGGGCTGCTTCGAAGGAGCCTCCCCTGCCCCACCTCCCAGCTGCTGCCACTTGTGATAGAGGCAACAGCGCGGTGGTGACGGGTAGCAGGTGGCACCATGGAGCCAGTGCTGGAGGAAGTGGCTTTTAAGCTGACTCCCTCCTGCACCTGCCTACCCCACCACTGTAGAGGCAGAAAGAGCATGGCCTACACATTGACATCCATACTCTTATGGGCTGGGGAAATTCAAGTCTACATACTTTCCTTGAAAGGTGACTTGGACCTAGAGACAACCCCACTGCAGTGATCTTTTTCCTTTTTCCTTTTTCCTTTTTCCTTTTTCCTTTTTCCTTTTTCCTTTTTCCTTTTTCTTTTCTTCCAATGCTTGCATTTGCACTATGATTCTTCCACTTTGTTTCTCTGCCAAAACCTCCCCCCCTCTCCCCCCCCCGGTCAAGCAGCATTACATTAATTTTCACAGTATGTACAAAAGCTGTGTTTCTACTTTTCTAATAAGAGTGTAAAAGTTCAGATATTGCACATTGTGTTATAATTGGAAAGAAAAGTTTATTACATATTACACTAGTCTAGAAGCTTTAGTCAGGATGGAGGGGATCCCATTGTGTAATGTGCTGTGCAAACACATAGAATATACAACTTAATTTAATACAAATAGATATAGCAATGTCAAGGAGTGAGATAAGGAAGGTAATGGTACAGGGCTACAGATGTTTCTGTAGGCTAGTTTTGCACGCAACTTGCTATTTTTGTAGATTTTTTTTTAAAAAGGAGCTGTGGACTTTGTAGTGATGCAATATGAAAGCCTTATCAACCTGAGTTTGGATTGGCTTCCACGCAAATCATCCCATTTGAATGCCAGTTAAATATCATATAGTTGGTATATGGCACAATTTTTGGAATAGAAATGCTATCCCAAATGCTTATGGGATAGTCGACAAGATAGTCAGAGGCAGCAAGTGTGGGGAGAAGAGGTGGGTACTTAAAAGTGGCAGCACTGCTCGGAGCCCGATGTCAGCTGGGGACTCCCATGGCTCAGTGCGGAGTGCTAGCTTTGAAATGTACAAGACTCTCCAGCAGGGGCTCTTGTGCACTTCCCGCTGGTCCTCTGGGGCTCTTGTACATTTCAAAGGCAGAATGTGGAAGTGCTTATCGACTAGTTGATGGAAATTCCATCGATTACTCAACTAGTAAATTAATCGCTAGTTAACATCCTTAGTTTGTACTTTGTATTACTTTGCATATAAAGGTAGGAGTGTTGGCTACTGCAAGCCCTACAGTATCATATTCACAGAGGGAAATAATTTGTAATATGATATAAATAGCATTTTTATATTCTAACTAAAAATGGAATGACTTCTATGGTTTGGTAAAAGTGAGTGCTGGACGCCTTGATTGTTCCATGTTTTCTGTTTTGAAAGCCTTACTGATCTATTTTCTTCTCTCTGTGCAGTTTGAAAGTTCACTTGTACTGTTCACCGGTAACCAAGGAGTTGCTGCTGACAAGTCCAAAATACAAGTTTTGGGAGAATCGTATTGTAAGTTAACTTTTGCATGTTAATGTGAGTGTCATTAATTGTTAATCAATCAGACTTTGTACTTTTCAAAATGATGACTTGGAGGAGGAAGAACTTTTACTTCAAATTGTCCAAAGAAAAATTTACCTGGCAGGGAAGGAGATACCATGATCATGAGGGTGGTTTTCCCAGGGCCCAGTTCATCCATTGCACTGCAGATGTGCCGACCACTATGATTTATCCAAATGCAGGAAACTCAACTGTGTAATTTGTGGTAGTGGGGAATTGCATTCGCACTTTCCCCTGGAGGGGGAAAAAAAAGCCAGTCTCAGCGGTGATGCTGGCATCCAGTTCTGTGTTCTGTCTGTTTAGTTTCCACACCACCCCATCCCATTCTTTCACAGGTTATGGCTGCACCACAGATTACTTTGGTATGATTTATCACACTCAGGGATATAAGTCTCACCCCTTCCCCAGAGTGTGATGTAAGTTCCACTGACCTAAACTCTGGTATAGACCATACTACATCAGTGGGAGAGCTTCTCTTGCCGACATAGTTACCATTTCTCACAGAGGCAGGAGCTATTAATCTGGTCGGAGAGCTCTCTCTAATCAGCTAAAGAGTCTTCACCAGAAGTGTTACTGCAGTGCAGCTGCACCACTGTAACTGATGTAGTACATTGGGTCCCTGCTGTATGTCAGGATTGTTCTTGGAAAGGATGTCTGATACCAAAAGGATGGGACCCGTAGTGCAGCAGTGGTGTAGGCAGCGGGAAACACTTGTAGGAGTGGGCAGTGACGGAGGTGTAGGAGTGATCTGGTTGCTCCTTCCCCCACCCTTCAGCTAGTTTTGCGGGGGAGGAGGAGAGGACAGATGCTCTTACCAGGGGATCCCAGAAAAATGAGGGGGCTCCATAAAAATATGTGCCCCCCCTCAACTTGGTGTTCAGGACTTGCCCCGCTCTGCCTAGCACTCCATCTGTGGCATGGGGGCTTGGGAGCTCTTGCGCTTCAGCCTTACTTGCTCAGCAGAAGGGCTGGCTGAGCAGAGGGGGCCCAAACCCATAACCCTGCTCTGACTAGAGTACTGGTACTGGGCAAACCCCTATGCCTCGACCCCACCCCCCAGCTGGAGTGCCGATCAGGTGGTGTGGGGCAAGCACTGAAGCAGGAGAAGAGCTGGGACCAAGGAGGTGGGATAGGACATTAAGTGGCCCACCTGTGGCTATGCATGTCTGTCCATCATCAGAGCACATTCCCCTATTGATTCATCTCCATCCCAATCTGTCACTTGCAATTTACAGTACTGCTTGGGCAGATTGGGACTGACATGAATCAGAATCCGTTCCCCGAGGATGAGCAACAGATATGCAGAACAATAGATACGAAACTTACAGTGGAGAGACTTATACTGTGGACCCACTGTATAGACGTTACCTCAGTGTCTGTTGTGTGCTCTTTGGAACTGCACATTTATTTCTATTCAGCTAGTAGTTCTGTCTTTCTCATCACAAACTTATCAGTTCTCTTGATTTTTCTCTTTTAATCTCCTCTAATCATGATGCTGTGATAGTTGGGAGGAATGCTGGCCAGCACTTGGTGACTACAGGGTTAAACTCAGGTACCTCGGGGGTGTTGTCAGGAAGCCAGAAGAACCAATGGGATCCAGTGCTGAAAAGTGTATTGTAAAGATTACGTGCTTGATGTTTCTCTTTGTGTGAGTTTTAAGCCAGGAGTTGGGGAAAAACAGGATGATTTAAATCCAGGCAGAGCTACCATGTCTCCAAGGAGTACAGGGCATGGAAGTGGACTGGGCTGTGAAGGGATTGTGAGTAAATGGGGGAAACTGGTATATTTAGTCTGTCAGGTTATTTTCTTTGTTTCGTTAAGCTTCTCTGTGTGATATCCATGTGCCATGCCTTCCCTTCCCCAGTCACTGTGTCCAAGCTGCAGCCCGAAGAGACTGTTTCTTTGTGTTTTATTCTGTTCCTTTCTCAGCTGTTTTGTAACACCCACCAACCAAGTATGCTTTATTAAGTATATCTTTTTGTTTTGTTACTAAAATCACCTTTTTTAAGGTGATGATTTGATTCTTGTGTCCTGAATACTAACAGGAGATCTGTGTATGTCTCTGCTTAGACTCCGCCGCCACTGCGGCTTTGCTCCCGGTGTCCCTGGTCTGCTGGAGACGGGTCCCAGCAGACCAGGGACAAC